ACATCTCATTATAACGAGAGAGAATTGAAGATAACAAATAATTTATCACAAATGATATTCTAAACATTTACAATTCTTTGTCCGCGGTCTCGATACTAATAAAGTATATAACCCATTGTCACAACTCCAAACAAACAAATAAACATTTCATAATAATTTTGTAAACATATTTAAAAAGTTCTATTTTTTTATCGCTTTTTATTTCCTCTGAACATTTCTATTACCATAAATAAAGATGCAGTTTATAAAAAATGTTGGTAATTAGATAAACCTATAATTTTAGTCAATTAACGTAAAGTGTGATAAATGGAACTAACGGCACAAAGTTGCTCGATATGTATTCAAAAAAGAATTTAATTCTTTCCAACAAAATTATTTGTAAAATGTTCACAGCTTAAAAATAACAACAATAATAAATTGATAAACAACATTCATTATTCTTTCTTCACTTATACTAAATTCTATAGTTGGTGTTGCAATTACACTACAAAATTGTTTTCTCATGTCATTTTTATCAATTAAATCAAAGTTTATAAGACTTAATTAAGAAAAAAAATATATTAAATTTGTTACTTAAGTCATCATTATCATTATATGTTGACGGTGACAAAAACCAACTTAATTAATCTGTCAAGGCTGGCCTAATATGCTAATTTACTAAAATGCTAATCCAACAATTTATTAGAAGAAAACCATTTTAGCCATATAATCCCACCAGTTAAATTGCACAGCACAGTGAAAAGAACACCAAGCAGTGAAAACAATAATGTATAAGGTGAATGACCGAAAATAGCATTTTAGATAGCTCAATAATTAAAATGACAAACTTTAAAGATTAAGGTTTCAAAGTTGTTGTTTTCATTTTAGCCAACATAGTTTAATTATAACAAATAACATAACTATTCATGCCAATTAAATTATAACAAATAACATAACTATTTAACAACTCTTCATAAATGATACCACACATAAGTTTAATTATGAAAATTATATGCCCTTTGTTTCTAGCTTCTTTTCTATCATTTTAAACTTTACTTTCTTTTTCTTCTTTTTTTTTTACAAAGTAGCATCACATTATCTCCACCTTCCTTTTCTTTTTTCTATTTTTTTTCTTCATTTGACCACTAATAATGCAACTTTCTTCTTCATTTGCATAAAATCTCTATCAATAAGGTGACATACAATATTTTTGTTTATAAAGCAACTTCACAAGTTGCTTTCCTAATAATTTTGCATACCTTTATAAACTAATGCAACAACATTTAACTATCCTAAAAAGCAATGTAACTCTTTAATGTTGTTGTGGCATCATTTTATTTATAATTAGTTATTACATCTTTTTTCTAATATTTTTTTAATAGATATAATATTTTGTGTGTTGTTTTTGAAATATAATCAATGATACAATCAGTCTTCTCCAACCACCTCCAGTCATTTAAGTTTTTGGTCTTTTAATATTTCTATAATATCAATATTTTTCACACAATTTATTCTATTCAGTCTCTAGGTTCTTAGTCACTAATATAATTTTTTTCCTTATAAAATATTGGTCTATCTAACATTAATTAATAATTATAATACCATCATAGATATTTTGTTCTGTAAGCCCGTGGTAGCGCGCGGGCATACCATCTCATATTCAAATAAAAAATATCAAAAAAAGAATGATACACATATGTATTGTAAGGTAAGAGAAAAGGAAGAAAAAAAATCCATGTCTAGTGTGAGCTCCAAGCGAGGCAATCCTTGCATTGTCAAGACTCTAAAGCCTGAATTAGTGGCGGAGCCACAAAAATATTAAATAAGAGGGTAAATTATTAACAAATGCTTGATGTTATATATTATATAGACATATTTTATATATAGAAAAATCAATTTGAAATGTATATACTAACTCATATCAAGCAAAATTAATTTAAAAATATTTTTAAAATAAAAAACATACATTATAATTATTCTTTTCAAGTTTTTATACTTTGAAACTGCTTAATAATTACTTTATTATTAATTTTATTAAAAATATTCTTTCTCAATATATACAATTAAACTTTCATTCATGTATTTTTATATCTTCCAAGGAGTAGTGAAATTATTGACAACAATTCTTTGTTGACTTATTGTTTTATACAAGTGGATTGAATATAAATATTAACATATTTTTTTAATTTTTTTTGTGTCCCTAGTTTTTTGAGTTGTTCAGTACTTTATTTTAAATCACTAACAAGTTGATCACCATCATTTGTTTATATAAAATTCATTAAAAAAATACATATTAATTCATTAAAAATCATTTCAATTCATATTAATATGCATGTAATATTATCCATACATATATTAATTTAACAAATCCATAAATTATCATAAACTCTAACATTTTTAATAACTAATTATTAAGGAATAAAACTAAAATTAAACAATGAAATAAATAGAAAAAAATAAAGGAAACTTACCTAAAGCATAAAGCATAAAAAGTTATTTACTTAACTAATTAATAGCTTAGGATTTGAAGATAAATTTTATAGAAGGAAGAGGAGCAGAAATAATAATTAAAAAAATTGGATTAATTAGTAGTTAATAAAAATAATTAAACTTATTAAGTTATTATGTTAAAATTTTAATATAAAAAGTATTTTGAAAAACAAATTAAAGGGTAATTGCCCCCTTAATCCCTATTGTGGCTCTGCCACTGGTCTGAATTGATATGACCATTAAATAAAAAAAAACTAATAAAACATGTAATTTTAACCAAAAATCAATTATGCAATTTACTTAATGAGGTTTCTCCCGGTGGTGTCTAGAGTATTAAAGATATGTTGTGATAGTTATTTTTTTTAATTATATAGAAAAGATTATTTAATTAGGTTAATATTTTTTTTATACTATTGCCTATGTATAATTATGTTTTAAATTTTAATTTTATAAAATTTATAATAATATTTTCTATTTACTTTACATACAAAAATTCATCTTATAGTGTGCGTGTGTGTATGTGTGTGTGTTTATTATACTGTTTTTTTTTAAATCATGACTACTTTTTTAAAAAAGAAACTCTAGCCCTTATCATTATTGGTCTTTTAACATATACAACTTTCATACGCATAATTAGTACATAGTTTAATGAAAAAAAATTAAATGGATTGTCGTTTCTTGCACTAATAGATGCTAAGCGAGTCTAGCCAATTTTAGCTTTTTATATAGAAAAGCAAGTGAAATGTTGTTATTTATGTAATTAAGTTACATAAAATGTTTTGAATACATAAAATATTTTGATTTTACAAAGTTTTTCAATTCAGTGATAGATCAGCATATTATTTACCTAAAAACCATGTTCAAATTAAGGAAATAAAGGTAAGGTGATATCCTAATGTCATTAAGTATAGCTAAGTAATGAGCTTAAGTATATATTAGTTGGTAAATTATTAGATTCAATATTTTTAAATTTAATTAAGTATTGAGTTTAAGTATGTATAAATCTAGCGAGTTACCACCCAGTATCTTTTTAAGCTCACCCAGTATCTTTTTAAGTATTGGTCTGATGAGCTAACTAACCCAACATTCTTGAACTCAACCAAGCACTGAGCCCAAATATATAGGTCGGTGTGGTGAACTACCAGACTTAGCATTTTTGAATTCAGTTAAGTACTGAATCTAAACATATATTAGTTTAGCGAGCTGTTGGAACTAACATCCTTTTGAGCCTAAATATAGATGAGTCTGGCTAGCTACTTGACTCAACATCCTTAGGCTTAGACAAGTGCGAAGCCCAAACATGTATAAATCGGTCTAGAAAGCTATCAGACTCAACATCATTAAGTTCAGTCAAGCGTTGAACCCAAATATACATGGATTTGACGAATTATAAGATTCAACATCATTGAAACAAGTCAAACGTTGAACCTAAATACATGTGGCTCTAATAATCTTATCATGTTTTATATTGAACAACAAGATTTGATGAGTCAAAGATCTTTTTCCCAGTGATAAGTCAAAGATCTTTTTTTTTTATGAGTTAAAGATTTTTTTTCTGCTTGAATAAATAAAAGATATTTTAATACTATAAGAAAAGGAGGAATTTGGGTCCTCCCTTTGATAAAAAAGAAAAAAGAAAAAAAATCATGAACTATATAAAGACTTATTGAAATTTTAGAAAAAAAGAATCAATCTTTTCAAGTTGATAGAATTATTATTATATATATTTTTAGATTTTATATCTCTAATAGATATTAGCATTTTCTCAAAAAAACTACTTAAGCATAATAGAGTTGTTAAATTTATACAAAGAGATCTATTATAACTATCAATCACTAGTTACTTTAACTTACTAGGTACTAAGTATCGGCTATTAGTCATCTTGATTAAGAAATAATCAACACGATAAAATTAAAAGTTTATCTGATTATTCAATATATAAATTTTATTTCTAAGTTACATAAATTTTATTTTTAAGTTACTCTTTTTAAATTTTAATTGACACTGCTAATAAAAACAAATTAAAAAAACCATTGACTATTCTTCAAAAACTACTTTATTAATTCTCTAATTACCATTGAAAATAAAAACTAAAACACTCGTCTAGTAAGACATATAATGAATCTCTTTATAATTGTTTATATATCTGATATGTCAAAACTCTAATAACATTTTGAAGAGAATAACAACCATCCTTATCAAAAAATTATTTTGATTAGGGTGATTAAAACAACTCTTTTATAATTTTTGCTATAGTTTATTTAAGAGCTAAGAAAATCTAAATAACTAGCACAAAGCCTTTGGGTTGTTTGCTTCCACTTGCCCATAGAATTTTCAGTTTAGGGTTTTCTTAGGAGAAAGAAATTAAGTTTGTATATGAGGAAAGATTTATATTTTCATTTAAATTTAAAACTACGAATTACGAATTTCTCAACTGAATTCATTAGACATTCTGGGTTTAACAACCTTGAGGATAACAGTCTAATAATATAATTATCTTCTTAGCTCCAAAACAAAAACGTGGGAAACAACGAAAAGTGACGTGGCGGAGAAAGGAGCGTGCACCGTACGCAAAAGGCAAAAAAAATAACAGAAGGTGAAATGTAGGAGATATTCGGAAAACCAGAAGTTGACACGAGCCAAGCCCAGGGCTCCGGATTCCTTCACGCATCTCACTCTCTTCTCTATTTCTTCACACTTTCCTGTCCTTCCTTCTGCTAACCATCTCCTCTCTGAATCAAAAAATATTCTTAGAGCTGTAACGGATTGATCGATTGACGGCGGCGACGGCGGCAATATATGGAGTCGGATTCTGTTCTCTTTCTGATAATTTGTCGACGATGAAACTGATTGAACAACGTAGTAATGGTATTATCATCTGTACGAGAAGCAGTTGTTCTAGGAGAGAAGTGGGGACGGTGCTGGGGTGTTCGTCGCCGAGTAAGGCCGTGGCTCCGTTGGAATCGCAAGGAGACGTGTGATTGAGGAGGAGGAGGATGAGATGTTATGAGGTTCAAGATGTCTGATTTTAAGGTGCTTGATCGTGTCAGTATTGGCCTTGGTGGCCGGGTAAGCCAGAAAACTCTACATCAATTTTTTTAAAAAATCTTTATCTGTTAAATATTGTTAATTTCGTTGTGATTTTCGGTTATTAACACTAAGAATAGTGCTTAATGTCCAAAAGTGATTGTTCTTAGCACTGCTAATTCTGGCATGGATAACTGAATTGGGGTTTTTTTTAGGTGGATGAGGTGGTTTTTCAAGCAATAGTGAAGGATTCTAATAGGCTAGCTTTCTTTTCTTATTCGATTTTGTGATATTGTGTGATTATTGGAGGTGATGAGTATAATGTGGAATTGCAGCCCTTTGCATAACATTAAAGGTGTGCTTCGGAAACTTGTCAGTACTCAAGCAAAACGTAGAGGAATGCGAGCAATAGAGGTTTGGGGCTTTGTTTTGGAGTTTTCTTTATTTGGTATTTGAGGTTTTGAATATTGGAGTTTTTAGGTATTGAAGAAGCTGGTTCGCCGTAAACTTATGTACCATTCTTATTCGATGCAAGTTTATGGTTATATTTCTTCACCTTCTAGCGGCCGTGGTTCGTTTACTCTGGTACATGGGGTATGTTCTGTTTCTGTGTAAGGTTTTGATATTGCGTATGCATTAAATGTTTCGTTGTGTGAAGCCATTTAGTTATTTATGCTAGGGAGGTTAGTCTTTCTAGGAGACCCCTGTTGGAGATTTTCTGTTTTTCTTGGACAAGCCTTCATTTCTCTGCATGTTGCGTGTGGAAGCAGTTCTTCCCATATTTCAATTTTTCCGTTTGCGAGTTTAGGGATTTGAAAGTTTATCTCGTCCCTTTTATTTTATGGCAGTATCATGGTAGTTTTTCTTTGGGACATTGGCTTCAACAATCAGATTGGCTTCCTACCTTGGAAACCACTCTGGCATTGGATGAGGAATCTGTCAGGAGGGTGGGAGATGACACGGTGGGAGGACCTGCTGTCTCTCGGCAGTTGCAAAAAACACACAAATTGATGAGGGATCTCTTGATTGGAGTATGTATATCTTAATTGTATTATCTGTGCGCAAATAGTTGCCATTTGTTGTGCACAACTACAGTGTAAGGTGTTTGTTTTGTTTACTTAAGATTAACTACTTGCACAGCCGTGGACTCTCGGATACAGAGTTGAGGCTGGAGAATGTGCATATAAGCCCAGTGGATAGACATATTAAAGTAAATGCAAGCTTTCCCCCCTCTTATGCTGTTTTTTTTTTTTTAGATTCTCTGAATTTAGAATTAAATTTGATATATATAGAATAAGGAAAGAGATTCTTTAAGGAGAAGGGCGTTTGAGGAAAACTCTTGTTGATTTGTGCTTTCTGATATGACAACACTTGATGCACAACAATCTCAGTTTATCTATTGAAGTCAAATTTTATTTCTCCTATTCTGCCTCGAAAGTTTGGTACCTCTTCAACTGCATTGAATAATGGGAAATTTTGGTGGTTCTAGACTTATGGTTGAGGAAAGGTCTGTTAGCACAAATATTGAGGAACGAAACAAGACATGAATAAAGCAGCACCATTGAATGAGTGCACCTCCCACACATGGGTACAACTATCCACTGTTTTCTGCTCCATAACTTCTGCTATAAAGCACTGCTTCATTGATTACGTTGTGTAACATGTTGTTTCTTTCTTGCATTGATGTCTTACTTTGTGAAACTTCTGAAATTCCAACTTTTCAGGGGGGGATACTAGGGAATGCTGCTGACTTTTACGAGGATGGTCCAAATAGTAGCACATTGGACACCAACATGGACAGACGGCAGATGATGATTACATTTGACATGAGATATGCATAGATAGATAGACCTAAAAGTGTATCCAATTAGCGCTGCTAGCAGAGATCCTGGTGTCCTGAATTCTGTTTCATCCCTGTTGAAAAGATGTGTAGGATTTATGATGGCAAAAATGGTGCTGCGGGAACTCATGGATCCATTAATTTTCATCAAGTTCTGATCATTCCTCATGAAGGTATAACATGCTAGTCCCCCTTCTTTTTTTCCTGTAAAGCTTTTGGATTAATCAATCCAGAACCTGGTGCATTTTTTGTTGACTTGCATTTTGTCTCTTGATAAGCTCAAGTTTCTCTTCATTAATTTCTACCAGTTTCTTGAAGAGCGGACATTGGCAGTCACTTTATTTACTCATTATGAAAAAAGAAATCTTATAGTATCATCATGCACTACTCATCATGTGTTGGTACTGATCCTAATTAGGAAGTTGTGCTGGCATATTGAGTGTTAATTGTGTTACGAAATTTCTCTTTTACAGACGAGAGCAGGGAAAGGATCCTTCATGCTTGCATGAATTTTTGTTGCAAATCCTCAGTAGGAATTCTCCATCTGGAAATGTTGGACTCCAAGTAAGTAGTACGAAAGCAAATTACCATACTTTAAGCTACACCTTTCACAATATCTATAAAGATTGTTTTTTGTTTCTTCTAGATACTAACTGTGGTGCCGGTTGGGACCTTTTATCCTTGTTTGGTTGGCAACCGAACGTTCCAAAAGAATAAGGTATTCATCAGTTCATCTCTTATTAGACAATAGTAAAGATAGCACGAGGGTAACCATATTGAATGGAATCTGAATTAATTTGAGATAGATTTGGCATCTATGATGACTATTTTGATTTGCTTTGCAGTTGTTTGGATGCCCTCAGGCATCCATTTCTGTGTGGACCAAGATGGTGGGTGGCGCCATCCATGGATATCTTCAGCTGTGGCCTTGGCTCAACTGCAGTTCGAATGACGGAGGAATACATTTATAAGCAGATGGATTAATCGGTTGTGACTCTTTCAAGCCAGTGCCTTGAGTGATTAGCTGGAAATTTTGAAAGTTTCCTTTTCTGGGCAGAGTAGCACAGGTATGCATCTTGATCGTTTATCAAAGGCTTTGTGAACCTAGAAAGTACCCTGTTTTTCTAGGGAAGCACAAGTATGAGATGGAACAACTAGTGTTACTAATTAATTTCCCGTTACTTGGAAGATATCTTAGTGTGCTTCAATTTCTATTCTTGCAACTAAATCTTTGCATGTAGACTCATTATATATCTGGTGTTGGTTTATAGCTAACAATGGCATTAGGTTGACAAGGTAAACTGATATCGTAATAGGCTTTCCAATTTTATCGAGTTGATGGAGATGTTGAATGTTCATTCAAGGCCAAATGTTAGTAATTATCCGAACAACCTGCTCGTAGCTTTTGTAGATTCATTAATTCTTTTGGTCTCTCTAAAGATTTCTGAGTTAAATGCGCTATGAAAATAATTTCATTTACCGCACCCTCTGAAATATTGACAAGTATACATATTTTGCAACAAAAGAAGAATTGGGCTCATGTTAGGTTACTATGAACTTGGCTAAACCGTAATAAGAAGACAGCCAGAGGTGGTCAAGATAAAACCATCAGCAGGGGAACAGCTTCTGCTTTGGTACGTTCATGCTCAATCGATTTTGCAGCCATGAACCATCCTCTAGATTCCGACTGATCTAAAATGGTGCTATGGCTATATATTACCAGACGAGCACACACCTCTAAAATTATAACCTAAATGTCATGTAATCTTTATTTCGCTTGTGATAATGGCTTCAGTCATGAATGATTATAGCTGTTAAACTCTACCTAGCTTTGTTGATTGATTCGGAAAATTCAAGACATAGATTAGGGCTGGTTTTTTTTTTTTTATGAGTGATTGTTATGGATAAATCATTTCAATGTGGTCGGAATTTTAGCGACCTGTACAAACTAATGGGATCAGTAAAAAAGAAAAAAGAAAGCAATGTTATTTTAATAAAAAAATTAACTCCAGGAGTGACCCGGTTACCCGTATATTGGATATTCTCTGGATTTTGTTTAACAATTACGTTCATTATAATTGTCGAGATTCGCCTCCTAAAAAATGTCGTCCCTCCGATATTTAATAGAGATCCATCTTTTTATATGAAAAACTAACAATATCTCCTCAACACCCAGATATAAAGTATCAAATCATCGCAAGGAGAATCATAAAGCTTTTTTTGTTAAAACATTAATGCCATAAATATATGCATGTGGTAGGGCCCCAGGGTGGATTTGGCCTTCTTCTATGTTTTGCAGGCGCCCACCATTCTCACCATCACCTTGACCATAGCGCCACTATTATTTGCTAGCGTATTAATTAGGGAAATGGACTAGATCCGTGCGTAGCCAAATGTAGCACCAAAGATCTTGATTGCCTTTTCAGCACGAACTTTGTAAGAGGTTGTTGCAGTAGCTCGGTTCTTACGTTTAATAAACCTGACCTTGTCACCAACTTGTAGCTTCTTGCTCTTAACGAATGCAACCCAACCTCTTGTGAGGACTGGCTTCGGGTACTGTCCTCTCTTGCGGATGGAGCATTGAAAGGGCCAAGCTTTGCCTTTCTCGTCTGTAGCTTCAAACGTGATGGCATGGCTGTCTAGTTTGAAAGATGGAAGAGACCTGAGAAACCTTATAGGAACTGACAGCCTCTTCTTAGTATCAGTCTCGCTGAGGATCTTCGAGAACTCTGCCATTTTCTAGGACAAGCAAAGGCAAAAGCAAAAGAAATGACCAGGTTTCTTCTTGCCTGCGGGAGCTTTCCTTTTACTTATTTATAGGGTTCGAATACTATATCCCTAAACGGAATATTGCCTTTTCTTTCGTTGTCTTATCTTTTTGGATCTCGCTACTTCTAAAGCTAATATGATTTATCGTACGTATGAGCTAGCGAGTCGTGCGATCCCACCCACCGATGGGCCATGGAAGGTACAAAAAAACAAAGCTCATCGCGCGATCGATCTTACATCCGTGTTCCTAGAAGTCAACAATGTGACGTAATAAAGAGATGGCAAATTATGCTTATTCCGTTAACTATGATATAAAATTAATTTTCTCATTCAGACTCTAAATTGTACAAAAAAAAAAAGTTCATAAAGCTGTAAAATTACAAATAAATTATAGAAAAAATATGATGTGATCATTTCTTAATATCATTAACAGTAATCTAATCTAAAATAAAATACAAGTTTGTTTAAATATTAACTAAACTGATCTAAATTCGAAAAAAAAACCTGAAAAATAAAGAGAAAAGTCCACAAATTACATATATATATATATATATATGTGTGTGTGTGTGTGTGTGTGTAATAAAATCTTGAAGTTTAAATGGTTATTCTTTAAATTATTGAAGCAGAAAAATGCATATAATGTTATTTATTAAATATAATTCATGGTTGAGGTTGATTTAATGAAAATAAAAAAAATAAGCAACACAAAAATTATATTTATATAGAAATGCTCGTGCAAGTATGCTAGCTACAAGCAAGAGGAGAGTGAGAAACGTGCTTTTCTGATATTAAACCATGAATTATTCTTTTTAATTTATCTCAGTTTATACTTTTAATCTTTTAAAAATACTATTGAATTTTAATTAAAACATAGAATCCATGAAATATCATTATATACTCTCCAATAAATAATTAAAAAAAAAAGACATTACATTCAATTAAACAAAAAAAGCTAAGCTATCAGGTTATTCCTTATATATGTAATATGCTTTCCATTTTCATTCTTTATAAATATGAGATTTATTTCACAAACACACTCAAACTCACATATATTAACAATAAATTAAAAAAGATGGTGTTTTAATCACAAATCACAATTTATTTGAAATAAATAGTAGTTTGCTTCTTTATTTTTCCTCTTTTATTTTTTTTTATTTTTTCAATCTATTTTTTTAATATTAGATTTTTCTTCTAAAGAGTTATCACACTCTCATTATATGAATCAATCATGAGTTCATCCAATTGACTAATTTTTTTTTAATTAATTATTTTAATATTGAAATGATTGAAATTTAGATTTTGTAATTTATTTTGTTTACTTTCTATTATGTTATTTTGGTATTATAATCCGAAAAAAATATTTATCGAGTTAACTATAATTGATTTAAGTTATTTTCTATGTTATTTTAAAGTAATTTTTTTTTTAATTTCATTATTTAATATTGGATCGTTGGGTTTTGACATTTTAATCGTTATTAAATTGAGTTTTTTTTTTGTTTTTTTCTATGGCTTATCTTAATTTTATAATTTAGGTCACTTGTTCTTCAACAATGAATTTGTTTTTGTTTGAGTTATTACCATCTCACCATCTCATGACCCAGGTTGTGGTTCTAACAGGTTAACTCAATTAATTTATTTTTTTATTTGATTTTTTCCTAAATTTGTCATTTAATATTATATTTAATTAAAAATTAGGTTTTTGTAATTTGTCTTGATTTATTTTTTATTAGGTTACCCTATCTCATGACCGGAAGTCTAGAGATAGTGCTTAATGGATTAATCTGGGTTGACTTGACTTATTTTTTATTAATATTTTAATAATTATTTTACAAATTTTATCATTTAATACTAGATCTAACATGGATGATTGTTAATAAAGCTTCATAATTAATTTTAATTTACTTTCTACTAGGTTATTTTAGTTTTATGATCAAAGTTATAAATTTGAAAGGTTAATCATGTTTAAATCAGGTTATGTTTAAAAATTTTCATTCTATGAGGTTATCTTAGTTTGATAACTCGATCAAGGGTTTAATTAATTAACTTGATTTTTTTATGTTTTTTTAAAATTATTGTTTTAATTTTATCCTTTAATAATAGGCTGATTGAAAATTAAAATTTATAATTTATTTTTATTTATTTTCTTTGGAGTTATCTCAATCTTATGATCCGCATTATGAGTTTGACAAGTTAATAAGGTTGTTTTTTAAGCCCTTTTTAAATTGATTTTTTTAAAATTATTTTATCTTTTAGCATTGAGTTAATTAAAAATTAAATTTTATAATTTATTTTGATTTATTTTTTATAAAATTATCATAGCTTCATAACTTAGGTTATTGATTTGAGATGTTAATTTAGATTGATCTAAATCAATCTAATAAATTATTATTTTAATATTAAAAAAGTATTATGTTGAAGAAAATTTAATCAAACTATATTTTTAAGAGTTACATAAATTGTTTTTGAATATACATAAAGTCAATCAAGTTATATTAGATTAATCCTTACACTATTTAAATTATTTTTTCTATTAAAAAACATTGTTAATATTTAAATATTTTTTACATTTAAAAAAATTAATTTAATACGCAACACAACATGACACGGGTTAATGACTAGTTCGTCGTATCTCAACATGTTGACCTCTAATTTTCCTTTGACACTTCTAAAGGCTTTGGTTTTCTATTGAATATTCAAACCTGGAATATCTCTTGGGAAAATATCGCACGATACAGCTGAAAAATAAAAACCACATCGCGCGATCTCCGAGTCACATCGTTCGATTCCCACATCGCGCGATCTCCGACATGCTAAGGCGACGGCTTGGACTCTGAACTCATGTCTCACCATTGTATTAAAAAAAAATACTAATAAAAGATAGAATTTTAACCAAAATTCAATTACTCAGTTTATTGTAATTAATTTTTCCCGGTAGTGTCTTTAAGCAATTAAGTTTGTATCTGGTTTTACTGTAGTTTTTGTTTTTAATTTTTTTCAATGTTAATTGTATTTTCTTAAAAAATATATTTTTAATTAAAATTATTGTTAAGTAAATTTGTGCCTATAAAATAAATAAAAACCATATTATTTTAATTTATATAAAATTAAAATTTAACTAACTAAATAATTTTTTTATCTATAAAAGAGGAAAAACATAATTATCATATTACTTTTTCTGAATTTTGGTCTCCTTGACACCCTTCATATTTTATCTCCAATTTCGGAGACAAGAAAAGAATGCCCTTGGATTCTTTGCACCGTCCAGCTGTCATTGTTATCAAGCATATTTGGAGGATTAAAGACGAATTATAAATAATTAGTGACTAAATACAATCATTTAGATTTCAAACGCATATTATCTATGACTATTACATAGTTTAATGACAAAAACTTAGATTAATTGGCATATCTCATACTAATAGATGCTGTCCAGGTGAAGCCTTTTTTTCTCACTCTCTTTTTATAGAAAAGCAAGTGATGTGATGTTGTTTTTGTAATCAGTGTTTATATATATACATACTTGACATGAAGATGGGTAAGTGATGATATACACACACACACTTGAATGTGAGTGAGTGATGATATATATGTATA